GGAGGGGAAGAGTGGCCGGCCCCTCCCCACCGGCCCCGGGCTGGCAGCACCCTCTCGCGGCCCCCAGGTGTGGTTCCAGAACCGCCGGGCCAAGTGGCGGCGTCAGGAGCGTCTGGAGTCGGGCTCAGGGGCCATGTCAGCCCCGAGGCTCCCTGAGGCCCCAGCACTGCCGTTCGCCCGCCCACCGGCCATGCCACTGCCCCTGGAGCCCTGGCTGGGCCCCGGTCCCCCCGCTGTGCCAGCCCTCCCTCGCCTTCTGGGCCCGGGCCCGGGGCTGCAGGCATCCTTCCGGCCCCAGGCCTTTGGCCCGGCCTTCGCCGATGGCTTCGCCCTGGAGGAGGCGTCTCTGCGGCTGCTGGCCAAGGAGCACGCGCAGGCTCTGGACAGGGCCTGGCCACCAGCTTGAGCCTGGTACTCACCCAGCCCTCTCTCTGCGGCCTGTCCTGACCTAGGCCGAGGTCACAGAGCAGCCCAACCAGCAGGCCAGGCCATCACTGAGAAGTGAGACTTGAGACCCCTGCGCATGCCCACCCTCCCTGTCCCTGGACACCCATACTGGGTCCCCACCTGAACCTGCCCTGCCCTGTAGGCAGACTAGCACCCAGCCACGGGAAGGAGGTTCCCAGGCCAGGAGCCAGGGCCCTGGGGGCCTCTGCAGAGTCTCTGCCCCTCTTGGGGCCTCAGTGACCCATCTGTCAAACGGGGGTGGGGAGGTTCGGAGGTTTGGAGGCTCCGGGCCGTAAGGCGGTAATTAGGAGCCACCAGGCCCTTAGGTCTGCGAGCCGATGAGCCTAAATCCCGCTTAATCTTTGCCCAGCAGAGCACCCGGCTCTCAGCGCCTCCCTCTCCACTGGTTACCTGGTACCAGCAGCTCCTGCCCAGCTGCTCCCGGCCCGAGCCCATCGTGAGGCGGGCACACAGGCCTCCGCCCCATTCTACAGGGAGGTAACTGAGGCCCAGAGTTGGGGAACCAGTTTCCTGAGGTCACACAGCCAGTAGGGGGTAGAGCTGTTTTTCAAACTCATTTCCCCAAATCCGCTGCCACATGAGGGGTAAAGAGACGGTAGGAACCAGGTAGTGACTCAGGCCAGGGCCCATGAGGGACACTGTCCTTGCTCATTCCACGTTTCAAAGTGTGGCTTATGTCCCCACTGACCACAGATCCCATCACTTCCCCCAGCCCAGCCAGGGCGGGACGGGGCCCTGGCGAACATGTACTCTGTCCAGTGCAATTCATCCATCCAACCAATGAGTGATGGGGACACAACAGTAAACAAAACAGACAATCCCTGCCCCGACGGAGCCACCACTCCAGTGGGAGAAACAAGATGCACAATTAAAACATGAATAAAACAAAGCGAAAGCTAGTGGTGAATCCTAGGGAGAAAAATAAAGCTAGAAAGGGCGACCAGGTGTGGCAGGCGTCAGTTTAATAAGGTGGTTGGGGAGGAAGCACGGAGCTGACCTCAGAGAGACTTGGACGAAGTGGAAGGAGCCATGGGGACACGTGGGGAACGGTGATGTGCACAGGGGCGAGGGCCCAGCTAGCGGCACTGGAGAAACAGGGAGGGGCCCGTGTGCCACCCAGAGCAGGGAGGGACAGGGAGAGCAGGAGGGGGTGAGGGCGGGGAGGGTCCGGCAAGGCCTGTGGCTGCTGCATCTGGTCTTCACTGAGTCACGGGAGGGCTGGCGTGCCCCGCCTGCCCGGGGTGGGCCACCACGCGAGCAAGTTCTCGGGTAATCTCCTCGGCAGAGTCCTCTAAGCGGATAAAGGCTCTCATTTTCCTGGGACCAGGAAGAATTAGCCTTGGGGGCCCCGCCTATCTAGCAAGTGGACAGAGGGGCCTGGAAGGCGGTGCCCACCCCAGACCTGAGCAGGCACTTACCAGAGAAAGGGTACGGCCAAGGTGTGGGGGGGGGCCCTCCACCCCAGCAGCCTCTGACCCACCCCTGGGACGCTGCCCTGGAGACTCCTTCTCACAGCCCAGCAGGGCAGGAGTTAGGACCACCCAAAGCTGGGTTCTCACTGGGTCTGAGGATCGGGTTCATGGTAGCCCAGGCATACTGCAGGCTGCATTACCTGGTTGGGGGCAGTAAGGACCAGGCACCAGTACGGGTGGACAGGAATGTTGGTAGGCCCACGTCCCTGGGTCCAAGTGACTGGCGAATGAAGGTAACCCTGTGATGCTGGCAGGGAGGACATCGGGCTGGGCTTGCCGAACTGGGTAGGGGGTGTCATCAGGAGCCCTGGAGCCACCCCTGCCCAAGAGAACTACCGACTGGGGGTCAAAAGTACCAGAAATGGAGAGAGCCACATGGCTGAATATTGAAGCGTCTGGATCCAGCCATGCCTGAAGCGACCCAACTCTGTTCTTCCCATGGCTTGAGTTGGGTTTGAGACCCTTGCAACCAAGAGAGGCTTTGCTGGAAAAACCATCCCCTTGAGGAGCGGAGCTGGAGCCCTTTGGGCAGTGCTGGGAATTCCAGGCATTGGTGAGGCCTGGAGGGGACGATGGACTTGCAGAAGCCCAGCCGATGGCCCAGGAGCGGCGGCTGGGGCCACGGCACCACTGCGCCCAAGGAGGCGCCCACCTCCCCACCGCCGGCCCTACTTCCCTCTGGCCTCACATCACCCAACACCCAACAGCGCCCAGGACCTGCTGATGACAGCCCCAAGAGGTCTTTATTGGTCCCCCAAGGCCCTGATCCAGCCAGGGCCGCATGGGAACCCAGGTAAGCAAGTCTGTTTTCTCCAGGAAAATAAAGTGTTCCATGAGACACTGAGGGGGCAAGGTGGTGGCCCTCCGGGGTCCTCCAGGGCCTGTCGAGGTCCTTGGCGGGTCAGGGTACTCCAGCCCCTCCCCAACTAGAACTTTCGGTTCTTGCTCAGCCGATTGTGGCGCCAGATGTTGTGCTTCCGGAGCAGCCGCCAGTACTCCCGGGTCTCAGGGTCCAGCTCCTCTAGCTTCTTGGGGGGGCCCACATTCACCTGGAACAGCCTGACGGGGTGTGGGCAGGAATCAGGGCCGCTGCAGCCGCCATGACTCCCAGGCACCCCGGGCAGAGGCAGCGCAGAGGCAGCGAGCGGCAGGACTGGGTCCAGGGGACTGTGTGGCCTCAGAGTGGTCCCTCCCCACCCTGAGCTGGGCTCCAGGCTGCGGAACGAGGGTGCGACCCCACCCCAGTGGAGCTGACATGGGAGGTGCGCACGCGCCAAGCCTTCTCCTGCCTCCTGGCCGCTGTCCATGCTGTGCTATCACCTGCAACGCCTCCCCCTCCCACTCAACCTCTCTGAACCTTCCCCGGCTTTAAGGAACAGCACATGTCAGTGGCTTCTAGTCCTGACACTGCCCAAATCCTCCTTGGAGCCCCCTGGCCCAGGTGGGACTGCGCTCTGTGACCTCCCTGCCCTGTCTCTCTCTACTCCCCACTTCGCTCCCTGCTGTCTGGCTAATGAACCAGGTGTCCTGCCTCAGGGCCTTTGCACTGGCTGCTCTCTCCACCTCTGAAGCTCCTTCCACCCACTTAGGTCTTGCCACATGGATCATGCCCTCCAGGGAAACCCTCCCAGACACCTCAGATTTGACCAGCTGGGCTCCTCTGCACCCCGTCATGAGCTCTTCCTGTGCTCCAGCCGGGCCCACTCACCACTCGGGATACTCGGCATCCGGCTTCAGGACCACATCCTGGCCCTCCTTGTAGATGTTGACACCCATGGCGTGCGTGGTGAGCCGGACGGGGTCTGTACACACCTCTGGGTCCTTCAGGGCATCGCTGACCACACCGCCTTTGCTGCCTTTGCCCTTAATGACTAGGGTGGGGGCGAGAGTTGGTTCGGTCCAGCTCCAGCCTCAGAAGGCCAGCCTTCCTTTCCTGCCCTGTCTATCTGGGTGGCCCGGAGCTCTGGCTGGACCCTGTCTGCTGCACTCAAAATAATTTGAAGGTGGATATGAATACTGCATTAAATAACACCAATGCTCAGAGAGCCCAAATAATTCCTTTTCAATTCTATTCTGATCCTTCCTGTGTATCTCATGGAGAAAGTGCAGCTACGTCTCTTTAAGATCTAACATTTATTTGCCTATTCTCTAAGAGATCAGGCAAGTTTACATGCAGCTAAAATTCAAATAACCTCGTTTTGGTTTTGCTTAAATAATTAATACTTAGATGGGCCCCACTGCATTCTCCAATTTCTGGCGATGACTTGCCAAAGCTCACAAAGTGATCTGGGGAACAGAAACACGACTTGGACCCAAGCTCATGGCCTCCTCCCACTCTGCCACCCACCCACTGACCAAAGAAAACCGCACGCCTGCAGCGAAGCGCGCCTTTACTCCTCGTTACCCACACCCGCGTCACCGGCAGCTCGGCTTCAGGCTGGCGCCTGCGCACGGAGTCCAATCGCGCCCTCCGTTCCTCAAACTGCAGCTGCGCGTAAAACCCAGCGGCCCGACTCTCTACGCCTGCGCGTGGGCTCCGAGAGCCACGTCCTCGGCCAGCGCCTGCGTATTCCCAACTGCCCAATGTCCTCAGCGTTCCCATCTTGGGCTGTCTTAACCCAGCTCACCCGGTTTCTTGGCGTAATCCCGTCCGAAGACTCTTCCAGGGGCGGCGGGGCCAGGGAGCTGCCGCGCCCGCCAGCCGGCCCAGGTCCGGGTGGCCCCGAACAGGTGCCTGGCCGCCATGCCGCGCGCCGCCGCTTGCACGTGCGCGCGTCCGGAGACGTCGGCGGACAGACGGAGCTTGGGATTTAGAGGCTCCTAGAGGCTCTTGGGAAATGTGGTCTTCCGGCCTTGGGCTTCTGGTCCTTGGCTTTGAACCTCATAGACATCCCCGGTACCGTGTGAGGCGACTTTCGAAGGATGTTTCATTGCCTTATTGCCCGCTTTAAAGATTTCTCATACACATTCCCGATTCTACTCGGTGAGCAATTACTCAACGCTTAAAGGTCATTAAAAAACGAACACTGATTAGGCTCATTATATCCCGGCCCAATTGCTAAATCCTTAACGGGCTTGCTCCCTAATCCTTACAATTACGAGGTATCCCTCCTATTATTATCCCCGGTTTATAACTCAGGAAACCGAGGCACGCCATTCTGCCCCCTACTGTGAGCCAAACCGGAAGTCCGCGTGCAGTAGGGTCCCCGCGCTGCTTCCAATGTCGCCGTAGTCGGGAGAGACCACCTCTCATTCTCCTTTAGCATTTTCTAGTCCCATATCTTCCCATCTGTCATCCTCGGAATAATGACCACGACCGTAGGAGGCAGGCAGTGACGATTAACCTTATTTTGCAGTTGAGAAAACAGGCCCAGATGCCAGCCTGGGCTCTCACGCGGCGTGCATGGAAGCCTGGGATTCGAATGTGCGGTTCCGACACTTAACATTCCCCGCGGCCCTCCGCCTTGCGGCGAGGCTGGCTGAGGGAACTACATTTCCCAGCAGGCCCCGCGAGGGCGCGCATGCCCAGGGGCCGGGAGAGGTGTGCGGCTACATCTTCTGGCACCTTGACCCGGAATGGCGAGCGGCGGCGTCCCGGAAGACTTGGCGGGCCCGGGGCGTGGGGTCCTGGGCGCTGTGCGGGGTGAAGCCCTCGCTGTTTGTGAAGTGAGTGTCCAGGCTGGGCAGAGCAGGATCTCGGGCCGGCGCCTGCGTCCACAGGTCTGAAGTCTTGAGTCCGGGGTCTGCGTAAGGACTGGGGTCTTAACTCGTAGCTTTAGGTTCGAGTTGTGCCTGCAGGCTGGGTCTGAGGTCCGGGTCTGAGCCTTGGGTCCAATTTGAACGTGGCTTTGGAGGTCTTGAGATTAAGGTCGGCTCTCCGGCGTCCTGGATCTCTAGGATCAAATCCGAGGTCCTGGATCTGAAGTCTCGGGGTTGGGTCTTGAGTCCCGGGTCTCGGCTACCTGCACCTACCTGTTAGTGTAGTGTATCTCCTGCCGAGATTCCACGTTGCGGGGGAGGAAGACTTGGAAGAGTAAGGGCTGGTGTAAACAGGGTCCACGGATGGGTGACAGGTGCAGGGGAATCCCCTCGGGTTTGGAGCCCAGGATGTCACTGTCTTACAGCTGCGCGTTCTGCGTCTCAGGTTCCTCATCTGTAAAATGGGAGTCACTGCACACCCTTCCTTGCAGGGTATGGTGGGGATTACATTCCGTGTCTTGTATAAACTGCCCGCAGCTAGATCCTGGCACCAAGCTGACACCCAAGAAATCTAATTTTTGAATCTCTTTCAGATGCTGGCCTGAGACCCGGAGTCCAGGCATGGAATTCCTGACAACCCCCCGACCTCCTCCAGGGCCTCCAGCCATGGACTTGGAGGAGCCCAGGGACACACTCGTGCTGTCTCAGGACCTTACCCCTGGCTGTCAGTGGGACCCAGTGCCCAGAGGCCCTAGCAGCCTGAGTCAGATGGAACTCGACGGGCCGAATATTCAGGAGCTGGTGCAACAGTTTGAGGCTCTGCCGGGTGATCTGGGGGGCCTGTCCCCAGATGGGCCCCCTTGCCCCCTGCACATTGCCACCGGCCATGGCCAGGCTCCCCAGGATTTGGCCGATGCCCATGGGCTCTTGTCTGCCGCGGCGCCGTGACGATTTTTTTTTCTGGAGGAGTGTCCTTCTTCCCAGTCTTGTCCCAAGGAGCCTGCAGACCCTGCTCCTCGCCTGTTGCAGCCCCCTGAGGACCCAGAGGGGGATACTGGCCCCCAAGAATGGGGAGAGGGAGCCTCTGCCAAGAGGCATGGCAGCAGAAGCTCAAACAGCTCCCCGGAACCCTGGCTGGAGACGGTCCCTCTGATTGCTTCCGAAGAGCGGCCGGCCGGTGCCCAGGTAGTGCCCGCCCCACCCCCCAGGCCTCCTCCGCTGCCAGGAGCCAAGCTGGGGGGACTCAGTCCTGCCCCTCTTCTATCTTCTTCTAGAGCCCCAAGACCGTGGCTTCATACCCTGCCCTCCAGGAGGGTGAGTGTCCCACGCGCCCTGGCCCCAGGGACGTAGGGGTTTCTGAACAGCCTGAGTCAGGCTCCTGAAATCTGGCACAAAGTTAGCTAGTGTGGAGGTGCTGCTAGAGAGGCTCTGAGGTTGTTTTTGATTCCAGACAGCCCAAGGGAAGAGAGACAGCCTTGAGAATGTTCTAGAATGAGTAGACGGTAGTAGGGCAAGCTTAGGTATTTTTAGCGCTCCATTCTAAAGCAGGGCTTGGCAAATGACCATCTGTGGACCAACTCAGGCCCACCACCCGTGCTGGTATGGCCTGTGGGCTTCGATGGCTTTTGCATTTGTAAGCGGTTGGAAAAAATCAAAAAGGTAATAGTTCTTTACACTTGAAAGTAACATGCAGTTCAAATTTCAGTGCCCACAAATAAAGTTTTATTGGGACACACACCCATTCATTTACATATTGTCTGTAGTGGCTTTTTTGTTACAATGGCCGAGTTGAGTTGCAACAGAGACCATCTGGCCCACAAAATAAAAAAACATTTAGTGTTTTTCCTTTGCAGGAAAGTTTGCCAATCTCTGCCCTAAAGGCATGGGAAGAACTCGTTCTGGCCCCCTGGAATATTCTAGAATCTCCCCCCAAGTTATCTGAGGCTCTACATTAAAGAGCAAAGTCTGGTTGTTGAAAGAGGAGCTGGTTTGGCCCTATCGTTCCAAGTAGGTTCTGGAGTCACGATGGAGTTGTGACTCAGAAAGTTCCAGAACTTGGCATTTCGCCCGTGGTTCTAGATTAAAGGAACCCGGGCTGACGAGAGTGGTCTGGAATGATGAGCAGAGCTGTGTGGTTCTACTCAGACTAGGACGTTCTGGAACCACGGAATGAACAGAACTCATCTGCGATTCTAGACCAGTGGGAGGTGTTCTGGAACTGGGCAGAACAGTCCAATTCTAGAGTCATCCAAAGGGCCTAGGCTGGTGCCATACTCACATGTGCCCAGTGGCTGCCACATTGGACGGCACAGCGCTGGGACCCCAGAGGTGTCTGTTGTCCGAGAATGTTTAGATCACGAAGGATAATGAGCAGAGCCACCTGTGGTTTAAGTTCACAGGAGTGTGGTTTAATTCACTGGGGCCTATACCTATAGTTCCAAACCACAAAGCAATAGCTATTGATTAGAATATTCTGGAACTGCTGGCAGAGCTGTCTGGTTCTGTGTTGCTCGGGGGATTCTGGGGCCATGGGGGCAGAGCTTTCTGTGGTTCTGGACTAGTTGGCATTCTAGAACCATGAGCAGAGTTGTTTGTTTCTGGATGTTTGGATAAGTCTCAGCATCACGGGGTGCATCCATGGCCACAAATTATCGAGGGGATTCTAGAACCACGGGAGGAGCTACCCGATGCTATCCTGGCGAAGAAGTTCTGGGATCATGGAGTGGAAGTCTGTCTCTGGCGTGGTGTGGGTTTCTAGAACCCCCGATAGGATTCTATGGTCCGAAACCTGTCGGGGACTTCTACAGACAGTGTAGATCTGAGCCTCGGGGCGTTCTGGACAGCATGAGAGCGGTAGACACGTGGACCGTTGTCTCCGGCGGGCGGTTCTGTGACTGTGGGTAGAGTTGTCTGTGGTCCTGGCCCAGTAGGGGAGAATTCCCGAACAATGAGCAGAGTTAACTACCTCTGGATCCATGCGGGGCGGGAAGGGGATCCAGAACCATTGAGTGGAACCGTGAGAGGTGGGATGGGACTGTCTGGGTCCAGCCTGATGTTGGAATTCTGGGAGTGCAGGGCGGAGGCGGCTGTGAGCTTTCCTGCTGCTTTGGATCTAGCTGTGGTTCTGGACTCACAGACGTCCCTGGATGCTGGGTCCTCTGCCTGGGGGTCCTTGCGCTGAGGACAGAACTGGCTCTAGACTGCTGGGTGGCCCTGGATTTGCGAGGGCCGGGCTGCTGGGCTGTCTCTCCGGCTGATGGGACGGCGCTGGGACAGTGGGCGGGCCCAGGCGCCTAGGCGGTACCGAGTCGTGAGAGGGTAGATCTCTGCGCTTCTAGACTGTCCGGGCGGCCGACCCTGGGCCGAGCCCACGTGGGTGGACGAGGCCGACGGGGCTGTCCAGGCTGACCTGCCCCCGCTGTCGCCCTCAGTATCGGGGCCCTGTGAACACGAAGACCTCCTCGACGGTGTCATATTTGGGGCCAAATACCTGGGCTCCACCCAGCTGGTGTCCGAGCGGAACCCGCCCCCCAGCACACGCATGGCACAGGCCCAGGAGGCTGTGGACCGCGTCAAGGTGAAGCCACAGACCGACGGGCGGGCAGGCGGGTGGTCGGGAGGGCAGGCTGGGTCGTCCGAGGCCCCAGGGCCTGGTGGGGCAGAGGCTGGGTCTTTGGGGTCCTCCACCTCCCACCCCACCCCCCACAGGCCCCCGACGGGGAGACCCAGCCGATGACGGAGGTGGACCTCTTCATCTCCACCAAGAGAGTCAAGGTTCTGATGGCCGACTCCCAGGTACAGGGCCCAGGCTTGGCCTCTGGGACGCGGGGGACTCCGCTGAGGCCCCAGCAGCCCTCCCAGGCCTGCTCTACCCACTTCCCCAGGAGGCCATGATGGACCACGCCCTGCAGACCATCTCCTACATCGCGGACATCGGCAGCGTGCTGGTGATCATGGCCCGCCGGCGGCTGACGCGGAGGCCCACACCCGAGGCCCAGGGCCGCCGGCTCTACAAGATGATTTGCCACGTTTTCCACTCAGAGGACGTGAGCGGTGGGGCTTCGGGTGTCCCGGGGGAGAGGGAGACACGGGCCAGCCCCCACTTCCCTCCGGAGCTCACTCGGTCTCACTGTCACCCCAGCGTCCTCTCCTCGGTCCTCAGCACACACAGGTCCCACGTGTGCCAGTGTTTTGCATAAGACTTTGAGACTGGAAGCCAACTCCTTAAATCTTCCCTGCCCTACCCTCCCCTCCCCAGCAAGAAGAAGGTGGCTATTTTCTCGCACAGGCTGTCTCCTGGGGATCTTGTCCTGGAAAGGGTGGGAGGGCTGAGCTCTGAGGTTGTCAGGATTGGGGGGAGCAGAAGGAGGGGGGCCGGGGCACCCTCAGAGAGACACTGCCCATCCTCCCCAGGCCCAGCTCATCGCTCAGGCCATTGGCCAGGCCTTCACCGTGGCCTACAGCCAGTTCCTGCGGGAAAGTGGCATCGACCCCAGCCAGGTGGGCACCCAGCAGAGCCCAGGGGCCGCGGGCCCCGGCCACCTCCACAACGGGGACCTCGACCACTTCTCCAACAGCGACAACTGCAGGGAGGTGAGCCGGCGGGCGGGCAGCCCCCGCCCAGCCCCCCACCGAGTGACCCTCACGTCCTACCTGTGTCCCCTCCCAGGTGGTCCTCGAGAAGCGCAAGGGCGAGGGCCTGGGCGTGGCGCTGGTGGAGTCGGGCTGGGGCTCCCTGCTGCCCACGGCCGTCATCGCCAGCCTGCTGCTCGGGGGCCCTGCCGAGCGCTCAGGGGCCCTCAGCATTGGGGACCGCCTCACCGCCATCAACGGGACCAGCCTGGTGGGGCTGCCGCTGGCCACCGTGCAGGCCGCCGTCCGCGTGAGTCCTTGCAGGCCGGCTGGGTTCAGAGGGCCTGGCCCGAGGGGCGCGGATGGCAGGCCCAGGGAAGGGGCAGCGAGGTCACAAGCTGCCTTCTCTGGACAGGCCTCGGGCCCAGCCCGGAAGGGACATGATAGAACTTTAAAGCTCTGTGTGCTTAGGGAAACTAAGTGGGAAACTGAGTTCTGAGGTTGTTGCAGGAAGGGGTCGGGACACCCCCAGAGAGACACTACCCATCCTCCTGGGAGTGGGGAAGTCGCCTCTCCAGCGTGACCTCACTGGCGGGGAGCGGGATGGGCCTGCAGGTGACTAGAGGCGGAGCCGGCGGCTTTTCTTATCTCCCGCGAGGTAGCGAGTGTGTTGAGCCTTTCTCCTTGTTGCCCAAATGGGGAAACTGAGGCCCCAGGACGAGCAAGGGCTTGGCCAGGCCAGACGGACAGGTCTGACCTGGTCCATGCAGCTTGTCACTGACTGTCACCCTGCCTGGTAGACACTGCTAGAAACTCTAGTGACCGTGAAGAAGCTCAGGCCCCGGGAGTCAGACTTCAGACTTCTGACCCCGAGGCCACCCAGCCCCCGTGCACGTTCTTAACCACTTCTCGGGGGTTAGGGCTGCAGGTCTCCCATTTTACGGTGGGTAAACTGAAGCCCGGGGGGACTGCAGGTTGCCAAGAGACCCAGCAGCCCCCCGCAGCCCAGCTAGGCCAACGGCCCCCGTCCTGCACAGGAGGTGAAGTCGCAGATGTTGGTGACCCTCAGCATTGTCCACTGCCCGCCAGTCACCACGGCCATCATCCGCCGGCCCCACGCCCGGGAACAGCTGGGCTTCTGCGTCGAGGACGGCATCGTGAGGCCCCGGCACAGGGCCCCGGGTGGGGGTGGGTGGCCCCCAGCACAGCCCTCTGAGCGTGTGGCCCCCGCGTGTCCCCCCCAGATCTGCAGCCTCCTCCGTGGCGGCATCGCCGAGCGCGGGGGTGTCCGCGTGGGTCACCGCATCATCGAGATCAACGGGCATAGCGTGGTGGCCACGCCGCACGCGCGCGTCATCGAGCTGCTCACCGAGGCCCACCCCGAGGTGCGTGGCGGTGGGTGGGGCTGGGCCGCCCCCCCAGCCTGGGCCCCCCCTCCCAAGCCCGGGCCCCCCGCCAAGCCGCCGCCTGCTACCCCCACAGGTTCACATCAAGACCATGCCAGCCGCCACCTACCGCCTGCTCACAGGCCAGGAGCAGCCCGTGTACCTGTGACCGGCCACCACCCCACCGCCGTGCCTTGGCCCCCAGCCCCGGGGCCCCGTCCGCATTGCCTCCTTGGCAAGCCAGGCCCCGGGCATTTCTTAACTATGTTATTTTCTGATGGAAAAAAATTAAAAGCTTATCGAATGGGCGAGGTCTCAGATCGGGGCATGCGGGGTCGAGAGAGGAAAGGCAGGACTCAGCTCTGGGTGTCCTTTCCTTCTGGAAGCCACTAGAACCCAACCCGGCGCTGTGAAAATATTTATTAAAGACCAGTTGGAGGGAGGGAGGGTCCCGGGTCCTGTATGGGAAACTGAGTCCCGGCTTAGGAAGGAAAAGGGAGAGCGGGCCAGCTGGCCCCTGGGGGGTCACAGGTCGGTGGCCGGACCCCAGTCATAGCCATCTTCGTCGGAGGACGCCACATCTCGGGCTCGCATGAACTTTTTCCTCAGAGCTTCCCGCTCGTACGTCCTGGGGATCGGGAGACGGAGGAGAGGCTGTGGGTGGGGAGCGTGTGGACTCCATGACGGGCGGAGGCTGGCTGCTGGGCCCCGCGGGGGTGGGCACAGGAACAGGCCTGGGGGTCTGGCCTTGTTAACGAGCGCCTGCACGGCCTTCAAAGCCCTGGCTCCAGTGTCCCCTCCTTCAGGAAGCCTTCCTGGTCTTCCCAGGAGGAGGATGCCGACGTCACGGCCCGGCCCGGCGGGTCTCAGAGTGGCTCTGCCGGGCTGTCCTGCCCACCAGGCGGGGAGCATCACGGCGGCAGAGCTGGGGTCTGGGCCTCTTCTTCACCCCTCCAAACCCCGAATCCCAGGGAAGGGTTGAGGGGCTCCAGTGTGGAGTACAGGGGTTCTTACCGCATGCTGTCTTGTCGCCGCTGACTCTGTGGGTGACGGCGCTCCACCTTGGAGAGGCAGAAAGGAGGTCAGCACCCCTTTGCAGTGAGTGACCACCCCCTCCCACTGCCCCACCTTTGTCCAGGTGATGGTGCCCACAGGCTTCCTCCTCGTCATCCCTCCCCAGAAGTCTGCAACTCATCTCCAATTTAAACGAGAAAACGGGACAGGGAGGGCCTTAGCGACCTTAGCTGAGCCCTCCCAGCCTGTCAGCAGAGGGGGAATTGGTTTCCCCACTTTAAAATTCCTCAGGGGGCTGTCGTTGGGCTCATGAGTGAAGTTTGCCCACGTAAAGGGCTTAAAATAGCGCCTGCCTGCTAAGTAGGCTGCCCTGGACTGCCACACAGCCTTGGCGAGCACCACTAACCAGACCTCACGGATGCATACAGTCACGTTCACCTGGAGGGTCTGGAGAAAGGGGTGCCTGTGTCATATTCACAGACAGGAGCCCCACATGGAATGAGAGTGGAATAAACCTTTGCTACTGTTAAGTATCCAGCGACTACGGGCAGGGATTTGGGCTGAGTGTTGAGGTCAAAGCACCACCCTGTGACGTCGAGACTGATTGCATCTGTCCTTGTATCCCAGGTATGGAAGGAGACCACGGAGGTCAAAATATTTGCTGTAAGTGACTGACTGGTTCATAGCCAAGGTCCCAGATGCTGATCTGATCAGAGAAGTTTCTGTTGACATCCTGGGAGAAAACCGGCTCCCCACGTGTGTCTGCCCAATCCCCAGACCCTTGCTGGGGCCACCCCATGCCCTGCTCACCTGGGCCCCTCGGACACCTGATGACCTCTCATGGTCCCTTGGGCTCTGGGGCTCGTCCGCCAGCACGGGCTCAGATGACCGGGCCAGGGCCGGTGCCGGGGGCCCCTCGTCCACATCCGTGTGGGGTCCCCCCTCGCCGTCCGTGTAGCCCTCGCCGTCCGTCTCGTAGTCACTGTTGACCCGGCTGTCACAGCTCAGGTCCGCGGAGCTGTCGGCCAGGCCACGGTGGGGGAGGTCCAGGTTGTCCTCCACAGAGCCGTCCAGCTGTAGGGTGGCAGTGGCCTGGCTGAGGCGAGACCTCTGGGCCAGGCCCTCCCAGATCCCTGACCGAACCGTGACCCAGACACCACCTTCAAACTCCAGTCCTAAACCAGGTTAAGACCCCGGCTTCTCAAGCTGAGGCTTAACCCTTGACCCGAGGGTGAGTTCTGACCAGTGACCCCTTGGTTGACTCAAGGCCGAACCCCCAAACCTGAGCTGAGCCCTGACCCTTGACTCCAGCCCCAGGCCACAAACTAAACCCCCAGTCCCATCTCACCACAGGTACCAGGTCTGGACCCTGACCCCTGACCTAGCCCTCAAGTGAGACAGAGGCCCCAGACCCTGGCTCAGTACCTGGTCCTCGGCCGTCCAGATGGGCCGTGTCTGCTGCCCACGGATGGTGGCCTTGAGCTCCTGGTACCAGCTGTCACTCGTGCCATGCAGGTGGATGGTGGCTGCAGGGAGGGGGTGTCAGCGTGCTGAGAGACCCAGGCCGGACCCATCACCGTCCCTGGGACCCCTGCTCCGGCCCTACCTGTGAAGAGGTGCTCGCTGTGCTTCCACAGCTTCTGGGCTTGCGCGTAGAGGCGGCGGGTGCTGCGGCGGGAGGCGGGCGCCAGCCATTGGCGCAGCGCCTTGAGGGCCGAGCGGCTCTCGGGGGCGCAGAAGACCACAATGGGGTAGTACTGCACGTAGTTGAGACGCTCGACTGCCGAGGGCGTCACATCTAGGAGTGCGTGCTTGTCCTGGGCAGGGCCCATGTGATGGGGCGGGGCGGAGGGTGGAGAGAAACACACCCAGAGACAGGCACAAAGAGACGGGGGAAGAGTCGGAGGGAAGTTAAGAGTCTGAGGTCAGAGTGGACCCCAGCCTCGCACATCCGCGGGCCAGCATGGGGTGGGTGGGGGTGGCGTTGGTGATAACCCAGGCCGCAGCGCCTTAAGCACCAGAGCCCAGTTCTGAGTCTCCGCCTTTTCACAGGGCTTGCTGCCGTGTGACTCTGGGCAGACTCTGTCCCCTCTTCGTGACCCACATCACGAGGCCTCTGAGCTGAGTCTCCACGGGAGAATACACTGCGGCCGTGGGGCAAGAACAGGTTGGATGCCTGCACCCCAGGTCCCCTCTCCGTGAAATGGGACCCACAGCAGAGTGTGCTTACTTTCTCCGCGATCACCCGCACGGTGTCCAGTTTGATGATCTTGGATGGGCTGTCAATCCTCAGCACTCTCTCTGTGGGGGCAGAGGCGCTCGGCAGCTTCAGCAGCGTGGTCCCTCAGCCCCGCAAGTTCACGTCTGCCCCCCTCCCCGGCTCAGGAGCCCACCGCGGCTCCCCACTGCTTTGGGAGGAATCCTAAGAGCAGCAACCAGCAGCAGTGCCTGTTGGACTTGTCCCCAACACTGCTATTCTGTCCCCTCCTGACCTCAGCCCTTACCTCCTGAGGAGGGCCAGCTGTTCCTGGCCCACCTGGAAGATGGGGAAACAGCCTCAGGGACATAAAGTCACTAGCTCAGGGTCACGCAGCCAACAGGTGGCAAGGTCAAGAGCCCGATGCAGAGCCTGTGCGCCAGACACTCGCTCTCCCAGGCTTGGTCCCAACTCCCAGCCTTTCGCTGGCTGTGACCCAAAACCTCCTTTTAAGTGCACAGCTCAGCGACATCAAGCACATGCACATCGCTGAGCCACCGTCCCCACTGTCCGTCTCCAGAACTTTCTCATCTTCCTAAACTGGCACTCTGTCCCAATCAAACACTCACTCCCTTCCCCTCCCCCAGCCCCTGGCTCCACCACCTACTTCCTGTCTCTGTGAATCTCTTAGGGACCCCATATAAGTGGAATCAGACACCACTTGTCCTGTGTCTGGCTTCCTTCGCTGAGTGTAACGTCCCCCAGGTTCATCCACATTGTAGCAGGTGTCAGAATTTCCTTCCTTTTCATGGCTGAGTAATATTCCATTGTCTGGGTGGACCACATTGTGCTTACCCAGCCACACATCCATGGCTATTGTGAAGAATGCTGCTGTGAACCTTTATGTTCAAGCTGCAGCTTTTAATTATTCTTTTCACATGTCACAAAAAAAATTGCTTTTAACTTCTTTTCAACCATTTAAAGTATGTCAATACCGTTCTTAGCAGGCTGTATAAAAAATAGCCAGTGGGCCAGACTTGGCCTGGGAGCTGTAATTTGCCGACCCCTAATCTAGTTTATTTCTGTAGTTGTTAATTTTTGGCCTCCTGGGAGTACCCTGCGTATTTTGTTCGATGCTGTGTCCATAGCTCAAATCTTGAACAAATGAAAGAACAGCTGTGCATCGGCTCATTTGGCAGTGGCTGCGTGGCGAACATCATTAAGGACTCTGAGGCTCCATCCAGCCCGAGTGTCACGCCTATCAGGACTGGAAGGGCTGCTGGTGGCTCATGTTCTAACTCTTACCCCAAACAACGTCATTAGCAGCCTGCGCAAGCTGCCTCCACCCCAGGGGCTGGACAAGAGTTGGGAAACGATCTACCAATGATTTGCCAAGAGTTGGGAAACGATCTACCAATGATTTGCCAAGGGACCTGGTTTCTCACCTGCGATTTCGAACTCGTCAGGCATCTCGACAGTCAACTTCTGCATAGCGATGTCCGCCACGGGTCCCAAGATCACCACTGGGCGCTTGAAATTGGCTGAGGGGGCCAAGAAACAATGACAAGAAAGAATCAGGATCCCGTTGGAGGTGAAGACCGTTAGGTCCTTGCACAACCACTCTCTACTTCCTCTGGAGTGGTAGTGTATCTAGCCAGGCCCATGGCTGCCCAGCTAAAAACTACATCTCCCAGCCTCCCTTGCAGCTAGGATGGCCATGTGACTAAGTTCTGGCCAATGGGGTGCAAGCAGAACGAAGAGTGCAATTGTATCCTTCGAGGAAAGGGGTGAGCCCTCTCCGCCCTCTTTCTCCTTCCTGCTGGCTGGAATGTGGGCTTGGGTGTGCCATGTTGGACTACACAACCAGGCAGAAACACAAAACAAGGAGCCTGGGTCCCTGAAGCTGAAGCAGCCAAACCATACTCAGCTGCTTACACTGGGGCGGTTACTTGAAAAAGAAACTTATTTTTTTTTAAATGCAGCTGTCACTTGGTATTTCTGTCATAGCAGCTGAACCTAGTTAACTCAGTGGTCAGCAAACTACGACTCAAGGGCCACATCCAGCCCACTGCTTGTTTTTTTTGTTTTTCCTTTTGTTTTCAGCAGAAAAGGATAGCTTTATTGGACGAGAAAGTAAAGTGACGCTACACTTCCAGATGTGGAAGCAGGCCCAGCAGAAGGGTGGCTCAAGGGCTCCCCGCTGCTTATTTATGCAAATAAAGTTTGCTTGGCGCAGTCAAGTCCATTTGTTTATGTACTATCTCTGGCTGCCTTCCAGCAGAGTATTTTCTGAAGAAACCCTCTGGCCCACAAAACTTAAAATAGTTGCTGTCTGGCTCTCTGCAGGGAGAGTGCCGACCTCTGGGCTGATAGGCGCTTTCACCAATGAGGCAAGGGGTACAGAAGACACCTAGCAGGAGAGTGAGTGAGTGGCCAGCCCTCCTCGTGCACCTTCTCTCTCCTCCTCTCTTTCCGGGTCTATTTCTCTCTCTTAAAAGCTCCATGCATTGAGATTTCTAACTTTCATTGGTTGGGGCTAGAAATTAAGTACGTGGCCTTTGATTTTTAAGTCTTTTTTTTTTTGTCTGTACTGCGGTGCGGCAGCAGCTGGCCCCGTCTCATGGGGGGTGTGGGGGGTGGCAGGGACTGGCTCTTCCTGTCCTCCTGCATTCTCTTTTTCCTAAAGGCCTCTGCACCTGATTTTAATCCCTTCTCCCCTGAGGCTGTGGGCAAGCGCTTAATCCCTTCCCGTCCTGAAATCTGGATGAGGCCCTTTCCCTCCCACCCTTCTTGGGAAAGGCTCTACGAGCCGTTTTGGTTTTGTACGTGTATTTTTTTTGATTGTGGTAAAATACAGATATCGTAAAATTTGCTTTCTTCACCTATGCATTGTAAAGTGTAAGATTCAGTGGCATTTAGGACGTTCACAATGTTGTGCCACCACCACCGCCATCTGCTTCCAGAACATTCTCATCCCCCCAAAAAGAAGCCCCGTCCCCATGAGCAGTCATCCCCCATCTCCCTCCCCAGCCCCTGGCAACCACTAACCCACTTCCTGTCTCTGTGGATGTGCCTGTTCTGGACATGTCACATAAATGGCATCATCACACACTGTGTGGCCTTGTGTGTCTGGCTTCTCTCACTGAGCGACATGTGTTCGAGGTCCGACCACGTTGTAGGGACAGTCAGTGCCTCCCTCCTTTTCACGACTGAATAATATTCCAGTGTGTGGGTGAACCACGTCGTGTTTATCCATTCACCAGCTGATGGACACTTAGGTTGTTCCCACCTTTTTGCTGTTGCAAATATGCCGCTGTGAACAATTATGGACGTGTTTTGGTCTGAACACCTGTTCACAGTGGGCATTTTCAAGGGCGTCTGTTTACCTCAAGCTGACAGCCTCAAAACGGGGGTACCCACTAAATGAATAACCCCCCTCGCTGTGCTGTCTAGTGTGACAGCGCTGGGCACATGGGGCTGCCAAACATCTGAAATGGAGCTCGACCGAATCGATGTGCTGAGGCAAAGCACACACCGGATTTCGAAGACTCAGTATGAAAAAAAAATGGCTCATTAATAATTTCTACACGGATTATCTCTCGAAATAATATTTTGGATATAGTATGTTAAAAAAAATTATTAAAATTATTTTCAACTATTTCTTTTTACGGATTACACACGTGGCTTGCCTATTTCTATTGGAATCGAGAATTAATTTTTAAGGAATGAAGCCCTTCCCTGTCCCCTCTGTGCCCTACAATAACCAGAAGCAGGTATTTTTTGGCAGAAGGAGAGAGGACAGCATGGCAGCTTCTGAAGGCTGTACTAGAACTTCCCAAGACTTTTACTTGGGGCTCTGCAGCCCCTCTGGCGGGGGTCCCACCTTCTCGCAGCACCACGCGTTCATATGGCGGGTAGTGACCCTGCCTGGTCAGATCCGACAGGTCCTCGCGGCTCCGATGGGTGGTCTTCTTGGCTCCCCGACGAAGACCGCGCAGCCGCCAGAACTCGGCCCTGCGGCCGGGGCCCTCAGAGGCACCGGCCCCGGCCCCCACGGCCCGCTGAACGGCCTCCAGACTGGCCAGCTGCTCCGCCCTGGGGAGAAGGGAGATCACTGAGCGCTGGGATGGGCAGATAACGGCCCGAAAGACGTCCCTGTCCTAGTCTAAGGACCTGCGGGCATGTCACATGGTAAAGTTCAAGCCCCTGAGATGGGAGATGACCCTGGGTTCCCCAGGGTCCCAGTGTCCTCACGGGTCCTCAAAGCCGGGAGGCTGAGCTGCTGGCCGTGACTATGACAACGGGGAAGGGGCCACGAGCCAGGGACGCGGCGCCTCTAGAAGCGGGAAAAGGCAGAGGCGGTTCTCTCTGGAGCCTCGGGAAGGCCGGGCCCCGCCTGCGCCTGGGTGTAGCCCCAAAAGGTCCAGTTTGCACTTCTGATCTCCAGAACAGATGATGACAAATGTGTGTGGTTTGAAGCCATCAAGTTTGTGGCGACTCATTACAGCACCCGAGGAAACCCACACAGCACTGACGCGGCAGCCCTGAGCGTCTGTCTCCTCGGGTGACCCGTCAGCACTGCCAGCGAGTGAGGCGTGAGGCGGGGAGACTGAGGCGGGGGGGGCGGGGGCGGG